TTATCATCCATAACCCTAAGTCACTTTCTAAAAACACAAAAACATTAAAACATTTTTCTAACATTTTTTATTATTTCTTTTTGCTATTTAATTTTCCAGAAAACTGTATAGGCTGCATTAACAATAGCGTAGATTTATCTTTTGTCGCATTTTTCTAATTATGTAACTGTTCCGAGGAAGTAATAGCGTAGATTTACTTTCCCGTAAATTTCTATACGTATGTATCTGCCCAAAATCCATGTAATAGCGTAGGACTTTACATTCTGCACTTTAATTTTCTATACATAGTCAACTGTTAGTAATTAGGGTTTGTATGGCAAGACTAGTAAATGGACATAGATAACCCTAATTTTCAATATGAGATAACTGAAACTAATACACTCTTTGCACACATCACCTATAGGGTAACCTATCTTGTTGCCTTACAAATACTTGGTCACGTCCCTCGAAAGTAGGGATACTTTAGCAAAAGATCCTCGATATAAAATATCATCATGGTCCCTTTCGAATAAAGATAATAATCCATCGATGACCCTCCGAGTTGCCTACGAAATGATCTAGTCCCTTTGATGACCCTACGAGAAAAATGATGATAGTTCCTTCGATACAATTACTAAAGTATCCTTACATGTTTCCTTCGATGACCATACGATAACCCTACGTCTTCCCCTTCACATCCAATAGATAAGATTATCTACCAACTAATGGTATGAATAATACTATCTCCAAAGGGGAAGGAAAATAACAAGAACGACTTTAGTGGGTAAGAACGCTTGAATACTTTCTCACAATCTTTTTCACAAACAAATACATTTTTACACATCACATTCAAAACAAGATATTTTCAAAAAACACTTTGTATACATTCTTGAGGACCGACACAAGGATTATTATAAAGTTAGTCTTACATTTGCGTTTCAAAATATTTTCAAACAAATTACACACACACACAAAGCAATTTTTTAAAAAGTAAGCTAAGCAATTAAGAGCCTGTAGATAACTACGGATGAAAAGGGTGCTAACACCTTCTCTTTTCATAACTTATCCCCCGAACTCAAAATCTATCAAAGGAATTTCCTGTTCTTTTCACATTTCCTAAATTGTTGGATAAAAGAAAAGTCGGTGGCGACTCTTGTTAACCGCAACATTTGATAAAACCAAAAAAATCAGTTCTCCCACCGTATTACAAAGACCATTGTATCATTTTCTTTTATGCCTTATAAAAGATGTTATTAGCGGAAGAATCACCTAACTAGTGAAGGATAACAAAGTCATACCCATCAAGACATCTAATAACTCCATGGGTCCATCTCATGAGCTTTATGCAGATGAAATCACAATCTTCTACAATTAGGATGCTAGATCAATTGATGCTTTAAGGTCCATATTCACTAGATATCATATCATATCAGGTCCAAACATAAATCTTGTTTTGTTCATAATTTATGTAGGATTAATGACTCCTCAGAGGCATTCCCACATTGCTAACATTTTTGGTTTAACTGTGGAGGCCCTTGCTTTCATTTATCTTTGAGTGGGAGTTTTCAAAGGGAGACTTAGGGAAATGGACTTCAAATTAATTTATGATAGAATTAGATTCAAATTGGCAGCTTGGAAGGCCTCTCTTCTCTCTATATCCTGTAGAATTTAATTGGTTGGATCAGTCATTCAAAGCATGATGGTTCATTGTTTAGTCATTTACTCATGGTTTGTATCCACTATTAATACCATTGAGAGCTTGGTAAGGAACTTAATTTAGAGTGGAGACATTTTCCAAAGGAAGATGGTGATTGTTGCTTAAAAAAAGTATTGTCAACCTATTTCAAAGGGAGGTTTAGGAATCAAATTTCTTCAAACTCTTAATGAGGCCTCTAGTTTGAAGCATTGTGGAAATCAGTTTAATTATAATAACCAATGAGCCAAGCTGATGAAAAACAAAGTGCTTAGAGGAGGTAGACACGTCTCATACTGTGTACATTCTTCAATTTGGAGTGGTTTAAAAGTCTGGATTGAGGAGTTCAAATCTAACTCGAGATGGCTTCTTGGAGATGGTAGTAAAATCAAATTTTGGCTTGATCCTTGGCGTGGGATACCTCTAGTTCATGTTATGAACATTCAAAGGCTCACCATCACCTTAAGGCTTCAGTCAAAGACTTGATCCTTAATCACCAATGTCATATCTCTCAAGCCTTGCTATAGATTTTCAATTTCTTTACTCCATTATCAACAAGATTACAATTCTATTGAGAATGTGGGTGACAAATGTGTTTGGTATCCTAATGAGTGTAGAGATCCCACTCTAAAGTTGGATTAAGAGTTCAACAAATATTTAAATGAAAAATACAAGTTATATATTATTAAGAGAGAATGAAGGATTTTCAAAAGATTTTCTAAAAAAATGAGAACTAAAATGATGATGTATTTGGGCATGAAATATTCATCCATTAAACCATTAAATGTAGGGTCATTTTCATTTTTTTACACTGAGTTTAGATGTGTGTTCCATAATTCTATTTAATCAAGAGAGTAGCGACAAACAATTTTTTAATATATTATCAAATCTAATATCATATTTTTAAAATTATCCACTTAGCATGATGATGTCCAAAAAAATCAACATGCTCCAAAGTTATACACCAACAAAAAAATTGCATGAAAAAAATATCATACCAAAAACATTAATAAAAAAAACTAAATTGCGAATCTAAATTCAAAACCTAATTAATGACCTAATTTTGAAATCTTATTATAGATCGAAAGATACATCAAGTTATGATCCATCACCAAAATACACACAACAATTCACAACAATTGAATTAGTTTACTTTCAAATCACGTGACTCAATTAAAATATATCAAAATACAAGGAACATATGTAGCATAAAATATTACCTAGAAAATGAAATATAATCAAAAAAATTAAATGTACTTGATATAAAATACGGTTCAACTAAAATGTATCAAGATGCAAGAAGTTTGTAGCATAAAATACTGCTTTAAAAATGAAAAATAATAAAAAAGTTTAATGTACTTGATATAAAATACAAACCAACTAAAATGTATCATGATACAAAAAGTGTGTGGCTTAGAATACTATCTTGTAAATGAAATATAATTAGCCAAAAAATAAAAACTAAAATGTATCATGATACAAAAAGTGCGTGGCTTAGAATACTATCTTGTAAATGAAATATAATTAACCAAAAAGTTAAATATATTTTATACAAAATACAAATCAATTAAAATGTATTCAAATACAAAGAACGCATATGGTAAAATACTACATTAAAAATGATATATAACCAAAAAGTTATATATATTTGATACAAAATACAAGTAAACTAGAATATATTCAATACAATGAACATGTAGCATAAAATGCTACATCAGGAATTAAATATAACAAAAATGTTAAATGAATTTGTTATAATATACAAATCAACTAAAATGTATCATGAGTGTGTAATATAAAATACTATATAGGAAATGATATATAACCAAAAAGTTAAATGTATTTGATACAAAATACATATCAACTAAAATACATCCGGATACAAGAAATGAGGATACAAGAAGCGAGTATAGTAGAATGTTAAATCCAAAAGTTAAACTTACTTTATTTAAAACACATATCAACTAAAATATGTCCAGATACAAGAAACATGTAAAAGCAAAAAAGTTAAATGAACTTCATACAAAATATAGATAAACTAAATCGTATCGTGATACAAGAAACATGTAATAACAATAACAAAAAAGTTAAATGTATAATAATACAAAATCTAGATCAACTAAAATGTATCTAGATACAAGGAATGTGTTGAGTGTAGCGTAAAATACTACACCAGAAATGAGATATATCTAAATGTTTGAATATATTTGATACAAAATACATATCAACCAACATGTATCTATATACAAAGAGTGTGTGGCATAAAATACTACATTGACAATTAAATATAACCATAACGTTAAATTTTCAACTAAAATGTAATTCGATACAAGAAACACGTAGCGTAAAATACTACATCGAGAATTAGTTATAACCAAAAAATTAAATGTACTTGATACATAATATATATGAACTAAAATGTATCTAGGTAAAAAAAAAAGGTATAGCAACCGTAAAGTTAAATGTATTTGATACAAAATATATATCAACTAAAATATATTCAGATACAAGAAATATATAATGTATACTATAGAATATTCTCGAAAATGAGATATACCTTAAATGTTAAATATACTTTATACAAAATATATATGAACTACAATGCATCTAGGTACAAGAAATGTGTAATAACGAAAAAAAAAATTATATGGATTTGATACGAAATATATATCAACTAAAATGTGTCTAACACAAAAAAAAAAAAAAACGTTTGACTATTTTTTATTTTTTATTTTTTATTTTTATATTTCATTTAGGGGGGAGTATTCATCATTGTCCTTTCTTTCCTCAAATTTCCTAATAGAATTGCAACACTCAATCTCAATGCAATGTAGACTAAAGAAATACAAAAATCAACAAACAAAGTATAAGAAAGTTAAATTTATTGTATCATCTCATTGCCATGATATTTTTGTACACAAGAAGTAAAGAGAAAACACAGAGAGAAGAGAAGAAGAACTCAAAAAAGTTGAGATTAAATTAGGACCAATGCCATTACAATGCTATCTGACAGGATCCAAATAAACTTACAACAACATAGACATAAGCCATCTAAGTTGAAATAAACCTTCACTTATCACATAACACAGATGGCCATGTCCTATTACAATAGTCTACAACATCATCTTAATCATAAGACTCTATCCCCATAACCTTAACCTTAAGACTCTAACTCTAACAAAGTAAAGTTTTTTTTCTTCATCCTCAACAGACTACAATGATAAAATTCAAAAATATAAAAATAAAAAAAAAGACAATTAAACTCTCTTGAACGGCATATGAGAAGTCACGGCAGCAGAATCAGCGGCGGACAGAGAGACGAGGCAAGTCAGAGGCGGAGTGCGGTGATCTCTTCATCATTGTAATTGAGCGGGGCAGGCAAATTGAGATCAATATCACGCGGCTGCGGCTTCCGAACGGATGAATAAATGATGACACAATCTTCATCGTCATCAGCATCAACCACAGACGAAGAAGAATCACAATCACTGTGATAACCTTCACCAGCAGCAGCAACAACCGGTCTAGGATTAACCGGAACAAACACAGGAACCCTCGAGGTTGAAGAAGAACCAACCCTTGGTCCACTGAAGGACTCCACGGTACTACTCATCCCGCTCGAAGTAGGATAATTCATATAAACCGTATTGTCTGCTCTCGCAAGCACCGGTGCATTCGCCCTACGGTTATCCGGAGGTGGTGGAGGAGGAAGAGGACGCAGAACCGCAATAACCTCAGGGATAGGGAAATTGGTCTTCGCCTTGTCGCCGCGGAAGGAGATAGCAGCTGTGTCGTAAGCCCGGGCCGCCTGAATTGCAGAATCAAAAGTGCCCAACCAGACACGGGCTTTCTTCCACGGATCTCTTATCTCCGCCGCGTATCGGCCCCATGGCCGCTTCCGAACGCCGCGGTAGCGAATTTCCGGTAACGCATGAGGGTTCGGGCCGGGAACCGGGGTTCGATCTACGCGGGGTGCGCCTTTCACTCGAGCCATCGATGCTGTCACAGAAAAAACTGAGAAAAAAAAAAGGTTTAGTTTTTTTGTTTTGTTTTGAGAAATGAAAATGAATAACGAAAACAAAAAAACAGCACCCTGAAACAGCGATTTTTAATCTGACAAAAAAATATATTGTTTTTATTTTTCTTACGCTTATTTTACAAAAGAGAGAGAGAGAGTGAAAGATTAGTTTTGGGGACCCATGTGGTTTTGCTTGATTTGATTTCAACGTGTGCGAATGACTTATATAGCCACTGCTCTTTGCACTTTCCATATATGAGAGAAGGGTAAAGTTGGTATTTTATATTTATTTAATTGTATATTTTGAATAAGTTTTCTCATTTTCAGATTTTTTTAAAAAATTAATTACTATACACTATCATTCTAAAATTCTTTATATATTCAATCTATCACAATCATTTATAAAAAATATTTCATAAATAATTAAAATAAAAATTAATTTTCAATAAATATTAAAATAATTATAATTTAGTTACAGTGTAAAACATCGTCAACATATACTAATTAAATTCTTTTTTATATTATAAAAAAGAAAACATGATAAAATTTATAGTTTTGATAATAAATATGATATATTTTATATAAAAATTAGTATATTTTTTATTTGATCAAATTAAGATGAATAAAGATGGACAATTATAGGAAAATTAATATTTTAAAATATAAAAAATGAAAATTACCAAAATAAAATATTTTATTTAAAAAAAATTTATGTTAAAAATAAATTAAAATATAATAATTATATATTATTAATAAAAATATATTTCAATATTACCTTTTAACGAAAATAGTAATTAAATTATTTTAAATTAATTTACATGGCCGGTGGATTTGTTTTTTTAATAAAAATATAAATATAGTAATTTTAATTCAGTAAAAGTATTCCAAGTTTCTAAAATCTACATAATTTTTTGTCAAAATATAAAATAAAATTAATTTTTAATTTTTAATTTTAATACACTGATAATATAAAATAATTTTATTTCTTTTAGAGAAAAATTATTATTTCAATTTTTTAAAATAAATAGAATAATGTTTGTGGAGAAAATTTATTATATTTGTCCAAATAAGAGGAGAATGGTAAAATTTGTATTATAAATTTATATAATTTTTCAAATATTTTTTTCTATTATAAAAATTAAAACATGATTAGATTAATATTTTTTGTGAAAATATTATTTATTTTATTGAAATATTTAATGTTTTTTAATTCAGTCAAAGTTAAATAGATAATTATGGACAATATAGGAAAATTAATCTCAAAAATTTATAAAAAAATAAATACTAAGAAAATATTTTTTTAAAAAAGGTTATTTAATTTGTAACTTAAATGGCGGTATAATATACAATAATTTAATATTACTTCTTAATGAAAATTATATGTAAATTAATATAATATTAATTTACATGACAAATGGATACTTTTTATAATAACATTTCAAATAAATAATTTAAATAAACTAAAAAAATACCAATTGAAAAGGAAAATTTGATATTAAAATTTTTTAATACAGTAAAAAAGTGACATTAATAATTTTTTTACAACTATCATATTTATGATATAAATTATATTTTTTAAAGTTATTAAATTAAATATTTACTGTTGAGATGGCTTATTTTGAATTTTTCATTAAAAATATTCCATCATAATTATTTTTAAAGTCACATTTTGAATTTTTGATACCGTATAATGTTTTAAAATAATAATATATTAAAAATAAACTAAAATAGATACGTTTTCTTTTTTTTTTTATTAAGTTTTTTAATTTAGATGATTATTTTCCATTTTTCATATATAATCAATCAAAGATAATTTTTAGACCATTAAAGTACTTAATTTTAAAGACAAACATATGAGTGGTTGTTATGGACGGTGCATCAAAATAAACTTATAAAAGTATTAAAATTTGAAAAAAATTATATATTTATTTTAAAAGATTAATTATTTACTTGTCAAAAATAAGATAAAAATCATAGTTTAATTTTGATATACCAACGATATAAAATGGTTTAAAAAAAAATTTTAAAAATTATTACTCGCTAAAAGTATAATATTTAAAGGAGAGTTCGCTCAATAAGGAATACGAAAGACTCTATGTATTTTTTGTGGGATTAGTGAATGATCTCACAATTTCGAGGTTAAGATATTTATATAAGAATCTTTGGACTTGGGTTAGAAAGGTAGAGAAATAATTTTTCTAATTTTTTTTATCATAAATGGGAGAATAAATGAAGATCGCTTCTCCCTCAAACCGTGGGGGATACAGTTTTCCCTTCGACTATTATCTTTATATCGTTATTCCTTCGACACCTCACAAGTCACAGGTGATAAATGAAACATGTCATGATCCCAGTTCAGATGAGGTAACCCAAGCCCAATCGAACGACCTAAATTCACTTCGGGTGACCAATCCTCCTTTAGTTACTCGCCCAATATTACTGCACTCAATTTAGGTTGTTTTATCATGGACCATCCCTTTTCAAACCCAATAAAATCATCCCAGTTCATAGTCCCTCAAGCATGATAACATTGAAAGGATGGAGTGATTTAATTCGAACGTATTAGTATCTTATGGACTCCGCGATGACGAGTTTTTGGTGCGAGTCCATCCAACGAAGCTTGGTGCGAGTCCGGTAACATACAACATCACAGATATATCATTCACCACAAACTTCATTACGAGGCATTCGCCTACATCCCTGCATCACTGGCAATAAGCCTAACACTTCACATATTCAATCACATCTCAATTATCTCAAAACAACAACATCTCATAAACATCTCAGAACAACAACATCTCATAAACATCTCAGAACAACAACATCTCATAAACATCTCAAAACAACAACATCTCAAACATCTCAATTAACAACATCTCATAACATCAAAATAATTTATTAAACATCATTTATTATCACAAAAATCATCGAACACAACTTCATCAATAAAATCTCACTAATACTCAATTGTATAATAATAGTACAGTAACCCATCCTGTTATTCTGCTAATTTATATCGTTACTGTCACTAATCCTACTGTCATAATTCTAACAGCAACCTCTAAACATCTACTATTCATCATTCTGTCCAAAAATCAGCACAACGACCAACAACGAAATTAATTTTTAAATCCTAAATTGGCTACTGGGATTACACCTCTTAATCATCATCTAAATCATCTAGAATAGAGTTCATCGCGTTAGCTAATCAACGCTTTGAACGGCATCTCAAACAGCATCCTACAACTCAAGTTACAGCAATTAAAAGTCAATTCTATCAAAAATCAGACCTTATGTATCGACACAAAACACTATGGGTCGACGCATCCTGCTTCTCCTGCATACTATGAGTCGACACATCCCCCTTATGGATAGACTCATTCTGGTTTTCAATACAGCATGTATCAACACATGCACTCTTCATGTCGACTCATCCCGAGTCTTGTACTCATCATGTATCAACGCGACCCTCCATGCATCAACTCATCCTGAGTCGAACATCATTCATGTATCGATACATGCCCTGCATGCATCGACTCATCCTGAGTCAAATATCCTTCATGTATCGATACATGCAGCTTGAGGTCGACACATACTGATACCTCCTGCATAAATTCTGTGAGTTTTCTCTATATTTTACTACGGGAATCTAATTACAGTCCTACAAACCTCATTATAAACATAATAAATCATCACCTAACATTAACCTATAATACTACATCGATCAAACGATATCATAACGTCATTATTCATTCAAATGCATCAAATCTTCATCATACATCATTCAATTCAAGAACAAAAACAACAATTACATCTAACCCCATATATCAAACATCATGAACCCAATTATAAAGTCAGAACCCCACCCTTACATACTAACCATCATATTCCCTGTTATAAAATCCGAACCCCACCCTTACCTTTTGGTTTTTCGGTCGGTCGAATTCTCTGGTTGAAACTGCAACTGGTTTGACGGCGAGTTCTCTAAATTTGCTTGCCTCCCACTTGGTGCCTCCAAACCCTTGCTTCTTCTACTGCTACGTGATAATTGTTTTGCTTTTGGTTGCTAACCTCTATATATTATAACCTAATATAATAATAGGTCTACTAGTAACTTTAATGGGCCTATTAATTCTATTCCTAATCTTGCTATTTCACACACCCCACTTGACCCAACTAATAAAATAACATTCTACTAAAATCAACATTAAATCCAATATTAATTTCTCTTGACTAAATTGACTAATTATTCGATTATCAATTCTAACAATCCAATAATGCTCCTAATAATTATTCTGATAATTCCTTCTTCGACTAAATTCCAACAATTTAAATCCTCAATAATTCATTTAAATAATTTAATGAATTTCTGGGCGTTACAAGTTCCTTATGTAAAGCTTAGAGATATTTCCTCAAGCAAAGATTGGTGTGATTCCCTTGAGATTTGCTTGTGGAGAGTCCCTCAAGTTCCACATGGGGAAGACAAATATGTTGAGAACCCTTGACTCATTCGCACGTGTCAAAAAAGGGAAACATGTAGAGGTTCTCCTTGCAACCATTGATGCATACCCAAGAAGAGGTGATCATTTCCTATGTGACCTAGGTTCTCGATCCTATAAGAGAAGAACTTTGGTCCATTCCCCATCCACACTATCTTTAGAGTTTCCATTCATCATGACAAGTTGCACTCAACCCCTCTCAAGCTCAACTTCATCTTACTTCCTCGATCACATGTATAACATCTTCTTCCCTATCTTCACCCTTCTTTTTTTCTTCCAAAAATGGTGATCATTAATGATTTAGATGAGAGGGGAAACATGATTGAAACCTCCAATAGTAAAAAACTCACGAAACTGTATGAAAAACACCACTCGAGTTGACAGAACAATCGATTACATGCTTCTCAAAATGGGGATGTTTGGGAGTTATGAGAGCATATATGATTTTAGTAGTGATAGTGACCTTTTTTTCCTTGT